AAAAGATTTATTTATTTATTTATTTTTAGATTTTATTTATTTGTTTTTGTGCGCGCGCGAGAGAGAGGAGAGTGTACAAGCAGGGGGAGGGGCAGAGGGAGAAGCAGACTCCCCACTGAGCTGGGAGCCGGATAAGGGACTCCATCCCAGGACCCTGGGATCATGAACTGAGCCAAAGGCAGACGCTTAACCCACTGAGCCACCCAGACGCCCCTATTTTATTTTAGAGACAGAGAGAGAAAGCAGGCAGAGGGGCAGAGGGAGAAGGAGAGAATCCCAAGCAGACTCCCTTCTGAGGGCCGTGCCTGACATGGGGCTCAGTCCCACAACCTGACCCGAAATCAAGAGTCAGATGCTTAACCGACTGAACCACCCAGGCACCCCTCTTTAGGGTTTTCTACATATACGATCATGTCATCTGTGAACAGAGATAAGTTTACTTCTTCCTTTCCAATTTGGATGGCTTTTATTTCTTTTTCTTGCCTCCTTATTCTGGCTAGGACTTCCAATACTACGTTGAATAGAAGCAGCCAGAGTGGACATCCTTGCCTTGCTCCTAATTTAAGAGGAAAAGCTTTGAGTATGAATTCTTTTTGAGATTTTATTATTTTTTCTGAAGTGGGCTCCATGCTGGGCTTGAACTCACGACCCCCAGATCAAGACCCAAGCTGAGATCAAGAGTCAGATGCCTAACCGACTGAGCCACCCAGGCGCCCCTTAAGATTTTATTTTATTTTACCTTTAAGATTTTATTTATTTATTTGACAGAGAGAGACACAGTGAGAGAGGGAACACAAACAGGGGGAGTGGGAGAGGGAGAAGCAGGCCCCCCGCCAATCAGGGAGCCCGATGCATGGCTCGATCCCAGGACTCTGGGATCACGACCCAAGCCAAAGGCAGACACCCAACAACTGAGTCACCCAGGCGCCCCTTAAGATTTTATTTTTAAGCACTCTCTACATCCAGCGTGGGACTTGAACTCACAACTCTGAGATCAAGAGTCGCCTGCTCCATACACTGAGCCAGCCAGGCATCCCTCAGTATAAATTTTTTAAAACATAACTATAATGCCATGATCATACTTAATAAAAATAACAATTTTTTAGTGTTATCTAATACTCAGACCATTTTTGGAGACCTTTGAGTGTCTCAAAATGTTTTTTTTTTGCACTTAGTTTTTCCAAATTATATCCAAATAAGTTACACCTATTTTTATACATGAATCAAATATTATATGAAAGAAGAAAAATAAAGAAAAACAAAACAACTATGAGATCAGAAGCACCCAGTTTGGAAGTCCCACCTTGCCACTCAGCAGCTATGTGACTAGGTAAGATACTTCACATCTCTGAGCTACTGTTTCCCCCTGTGTCGGATGTAAGAGGGGGATTAGTGTGATCAGCACAGAGAGCACTGAGCCCCTTGGGTGGCCTGTTGGGAGGTTTCCAGAAGGCCTTAGGTAACACTGGGCTGGGTTTAACTTAGCAGAGGTCTCCCTAAGGTGCTGATTCCCATCCCTCCTCTTACCAAACTGTGTCTCCAGTTGCATCTGAGCTCAGCTGAGAGTATTTCTCAAACTGAGCACAACCACCAAGGAAGCTGGTCTTCCTCAAAGCCCACATCTTCAGGAATCCAGGAGCTCCTCCAAACACCCCCTCCCCTCACCCCTTTCTCCATCCAGCCCCATCACGAGCCATACCCTTCTTTCAACCTAAAACATCCTGGTCCTCATCCAGCATCTCTTGCCTCCATGCTCACAGCAGCCTCCTCAATATCTCCCTGCTCCCCTCCACAAGGTCCTCTCTCAGATCTGTTCCCCATTGTATTTCCAAAGCAAACCTCATTCATCACTCTTCCACCCCATTGCCTAACACCCTTCATACCTTCCCAGTGGCTCTATATAAGAAACAAAACCAGGGATGCCTGGGTGGCTCAGATGGTTAAGCATCTGCTTTCAGCTCAAGTCATAATCCCAGGGTCCCGGGATCGAGTCCCACATTGGGCTCCCTCCTGGACAGGGAGCCTGCTTCTCCCTCTGCCTCTTCCCTCTGCTCTTGCTCTCTCTCTCTCTCTCACAAATACATAAATAAATTCTTAAAACAAAAACAAAACCAGCCTAGAGACTCATCTGCCCCTACTAACCTCTCAGTATGGAGTGGGGTGGGATACCTTCTACTCCAGCCCCAATGGCCTTCTTTGGGCTCGTGATTAAAGTCTTCATGTTTCTCCCCATTTCAAGCTTTTGCACCTGCTGGTCTCTCCTCCTGGTATACTCCTCCCACTGCACTTCCTAATTACTCTTCCTTCTTCCTTCCCTTCCCCCTTCCTTTCCCTTCCCTCTTCCCTTTTCTTCTCAGTAATCTCTATGTCCAACATGGGGCTTGAACTCACAACCTGAAGATCAAGAGTCCAAGATAAAGAGTTGTATGCTCTACCAAATGAGCCATCCAGGTGCCCCTTACTCTTCTTTTGGATCCCAGTTGACCTTGACCCCCCTCCCCCCACACACACCCATACTAAATCAATGCTTTAAGGTGACCAGTTGTCCTGGTTTTCCAGGGAATGAAGGGTTCTTGGGACTCGGAACTTCCTGTTTGCAAAGCAGGATGAGTTGGTCACCCTATTAGTGCCTAACACATGGTCTTGCACACAGTGGATGCTAAGGGAATCTTTGTTGAGTGAATGCGTGAACTGCAGCTGTTGGTCCCACTCAGGAGGGGGCAGCCGCTGCTGAGCTCTGATCACACATTTCCAGGCATCTGGGGCAGTCCGATATTAATAGTAATTACTATTCACCAAGCACTTCCTCTGTGCCTTGCCTGGTGTTGAGTCCTCTCTGTTCGCCCTCACATTTAATTCTCAATCACCCAAGTTACGGGTAGCACTCTCATTTTATTGAGGTGAAATTCCCGTAACATAAAATTAACCATTTTATTTATTTATTTATTTATTTTTAAAGATTTTATTTATTTGTCAGAGAGAGAGAGAGAAAGCACAAGCAGGGGGAGCGGCAGGCAGAGGGAAAAACAGGCTTCCCGCTGAGCAAGGAGCCTGATGTGGACTCGATCCCAGGACCCCGGGATCACGACCTGAGCCGAAGGTAGACACTTAATGGACTGAGCCACCCAGGTGTCCTGGGAGAGAGAGAATCTTAAGCAGGCTCCACGCTCAGCACAGAGCCTGTCGCAGAGCTCAATTTTATGACCCTGAGATCATGACCTGAGCCAAAATCAAGAGTACGCTTAACTGACTGAGCCACCCAGGCGCCCGTTTTTTTTAAACAATCTTTACACCCAACGTGGGGCTTGAACCCACAACCCTGAGATCAAGAGTCACAGGCTCTTCCAATTGAGCCAGCCAGGCACCCCAGTTTTTTTTTTAATTGTGGTAGAATATACATAACGAAATTTACTATTTTTACCATTTTGAGTGTACAGTTCAGTGGCGTTAATTATATTCACAATGTTGTGCAACCATTACCCTATTTATTTCCAAATTTTTCTCATTACTCCAAAGAAAAACTCTGTCACCGCTCAGAAATAATTACCGATTCCATCCTCCCCAACTCCTGGTACCCTCTGTTCTACATTCTTTTTCTTTTTTTTTTAAGATTTTTTTTTTTTTTTTTTTTTTTT